GGGGGTAGTGGGCGAAGATGAGGGGGGATGGGGCAGGAGACAGCAATTAGCCTGTTGTGAACAGCAAGCGTACGTTCCCAAGTGCCCAGCGAATATTCTTTACGTCGTCCTAAATTATGCATGGCCTGTCATGGCCTGTCCTAAAAATATGTGCCCGCCAGTTGTTGACCCTTGGGATGTACAGGGTGTGGGGCTGCAAAGGCGGGGGGCAAGAGCTAGCCAGCAAAATATAGGCCACGCAAGATACCACACGCACCCGAACGATTTTCAAAGCTCGATATTTACTGACGCGGTCAACAAGATGTAGGCCACGTTAGATACCACACCCCCCCGAGCGATTTCAAAGCTCGATAGTATATACCACGACTAGAAAGGATGTAAAAAAAAACGGATGGGTTTTCGGAAAGCTCGCTCTGGGTCAGACAGTTTCGTTCCAACGCCGCCGCCTGTTTCGCCTCTTTGGCACCGTCGCCTTTTTCGCTGCAGAGAAACATACCAAAACATGGAGCTTTCGTGAATCGCTCCCGGTCCAGCCGCAGAGCAGGGTGTGCGTGTGTGTGATACCTTACGCAACCTCAGTCAAAACACACTCACACACACACACACGATACGATAACACAAGACCTACATAGCAACGACAGACACGAACCTGGCCGGTTTTATCTCTGCGGATCGTGTCACTACCCCCGTAACTCGCCGCTCGCGAACGGTGGACGCCGCTGCCGCCGCCGATGCCGCCGCTGATACTGCTGTTTNTTTTTTTTTTTTTTTCAGCGCGCGAAAAACCACACGACGCGCGCGCAGGGGGGAGGGAGGGGGGCATACTCATGTTTTGCATGCCTTAGCAGCTAGACCATTGACCACGCGTCCTAGAGAGTTCCCACAGGACCGATCGCCGATGTTCCTCCCTACTTTGCCAAAGGTGGCTCATGAACGTTTCCCCTACCCTATATAGATGGCGCATCCTATCGATATGCCTTGCCGCATGTTCGGGGGTGGGGGGATTGTTCCACCGGAGCAACAAGCAAGCTCGCCACATCCGTCCTCAGCTGGAGCAATCAGTCGTGTCGACGGACGGACGTATAGACCAAACAGGAAATGCGTGGCTACTGTACCACGGCGTTTGGGGTGGGGTCCGTTCGTTTGTCTTCGGCTATGGGCGTGTGCGTGCGTGCGTGCGTGGCTTTTTTCATGGGGTTAGGGGTGCCCACATTAAAAGTAATCCCGCACACCAAGACACCTCCCCCCCTCCGCCCCCCCCCACCCCGCTGTAGGACTGTTATTTTTCATTTACAATTTTCTTCTTGGGGTCAAGATTAGAGCCCAGTAAGAGCAAGCCGCATGCGGGGGGCACATCGGGTGTCACTAATGACGAGCGGGTTAGGTGCTCGGTGTGCCACATGGTGCCCGCTTTGTGTGATCATGGGTTGGGGGGTTCGCAAGAGAGGAAAACAGCTCTCGCATAGGGGTACACGGAAAACCTGGCAGTAGGCTACNCCCCCCCCCCCCCCTCCCCAACGTCGAAAGCCTCCTAAAGACGACATTGGGTACCTCATAGGTTTGAGGAAGAAGATTTTGAAGCTATGCAGCCTTCATGTTTTGTCGTTCTTAGTCCTTGCTGTAGTCGAAGAGCCAGCCACGTTGCCACGATGAAAAAAATTTCAGGGCACTTGCAGCACGGAACAAGTCTCTACAAACCAAGCAACAACCACCCTGTATACACCAAATTTTCGTTATTTTCCTTCGCCCCCGTGGGCTGGCAAAAACCCCGGCAGGCATGTCGCTCCGTCCCCCCATTTTGTGGGTACACGACGCCTACCGACAACACCATGCGGTTACCGCGTACGACACAAGATAACACACCCCCTGGACCGATTTTAACAGCTCGATTACTCCACGACAAAGAGGGTGCATAAACAAAACGATACACTCTCGGAGATGTCTCGACCAGACGGCTTCAACGCCGCCGTTTTCGGCGCTGCGAGTCTTCCTGCTCTTGATGGTGAATCGAGCTTTGAAAATCGGTCCAGGGGGTGTGTTATCTTGTGTCATATACGGTACATAGGAGCTTCTTATGCATGCGGCGGCGCTTCCCCCCTATCACCAACGTTCACAAACCGCCATGTAGCCGCGACACTCACACACCTTCCGAGGGACGGCGGCGGCGGCGGCTCGAGCCCGATGCCCTCGTTCTGGAAGGGGTGCGGTAGCTGGAGGGGTACCCCCCGCCGCCGCCGCCGCCCGTCTTCTGCCTCCTCTTCTTCTTCTTCTTCTCGTCCTCCGCTATTTGCGGTTGTGGCTTCTGGTTGTGATGATGGTGGTGTCGCCGTGCCCTTTACTTGGAGGTGGTGATGATGTTGCGTGGACGGCTTGCTGCTGCCGCCACAGGAGTTCGTCTATTTGTTCAGGAGAGAGAGGGGGGGGGAGGG